CAATTAGTAGGCGGTTTCCCGGCAAAATTTGTATCATCACGTATTAGTCAAAACATATTCTTTCACATGATTGGAAATAAGAGCTTCAATTTAATTTTTTGAGAGGGGGGCATTTCTGAAACTGGTCTATACCTTGAAGGTAATTGTTTGTATTGCAAATGGGTGTTACAGTATTTTTAGTGCGAGGGTTCTTTTCTTTATTTAAATGTCATGTCATTTGATGTTTACTCTGATTCAAGCTCTAGTAGGGCTATCAGCTATATTCAGTCATTATATCCTGAATTGTGGTGTTGTTGCTAACGTATGGGATTCGCCCTTACGTCGCTCTTATCAACGAAATGTTTTTGATGGGAGTTGTGTTGCACATTCGACCTTTGAGAAACGCGCCAAATTTATGAAATGGCATTATCGAAAATCAACTTTACCTTGTAATCGCAATATTCCATAAATGTATCCTTTGTAGCATTAAAAAATTTCACAGATTCACACACACACATGCATGAACTGCTAAGAATGATACCGAAGGCTTTTCCTCGTAGCATATCATTGGTGCAAATCCAAATACACTATCCTATGACAATCACCCACAGTTCCCTGTTTTGGTTTGACATCCTTTCTGAAAAAATAATCACATACACATTATTGCTTCATCGTAGGAAAAGAAAACCAAAATATCACATACAGCCTTCACTATCTGAATTTTTGTCTCCAAAACAGGAGGCCTCCATGGCCCGATATCGCGCACATCACACAAACGGTTTATGACGCACTCTTGTAAACTGTGATCACCACTCCTTCCTCGTTCCGAATGCAGATGCTGTATACAGTATCTGCATTTCGAACCGAATAATATGCAAATACTTTATCTATTGTTACCCTGTGGACTTTGGACCGAGAGCGGATGTTTGCGGTGAGGATATTTTGTGGAGGTGTAATTTATTTGTTACAAGAATTATGGAATCCGGGATTTGTAATGCTAAGTTCACACCGACGCCGAATTGATGGCGCATTAAATCGACGAGCAAAGCGGCGGCAAAGCGTAACAAAGCTTAATTAAAGCGTAAAGACCGTAATAGAGCGTGAGAAAGCTTTGAGCAATTCGGGACATTCGGCAAGAGCGCCAACATTTTTTAAACTGTTTAAAAATTTGAGGCGATCTGCCACGAATTGCGTAAAGCGGGGAGAGCGTATTAAAGCTTATCAAAGCGTCACAAAGCTTATCAAAGTTTTGCTCAAAGCGTAGGAAAGCTTAACAGAGTTTAAATTTTTGGCGCTCTTGCCGAATGTCCCGAATTGCTCAAAGCTTTCTCACGCTCTATTACGGTCTTTACACTTTAATTAGGTGATACGTAACGAAGTCTACGTATCACCTATTGATTTCGTCAAGATTTTCTTTATTATTTTTATTATTCTGCCATGAATTTGTTCGCAGGATATCTCAAGACTGAATAAAGCCATTACCATGAAACTTGCCATGATGATAGATCTTAGTCTAACTTAGAACTGCGTGACTTTTTAGAGAGTTAAAGTTATCGTGACGTCATCCAGGCGCCATTTTGTGAAAATCAATTTATGATCATATCTTCATAAGGGAAAGGGATTTCTCATTTATAATTATCATGATTAAGATAAATATCCATCCGGTCAAGTTGAGGTCAATAGAAGTGCGCAAATGCGCGCGTGCGCGTTCGTCCGCGCGTTTACGCGCGCGCAAAAATTTAAAATGCTCCAAATCATCCTAATTTTTTTTTTGCATACGTTTCAGGCCATATGGAGCATTTCATAAAAAAAATACGCACACGCACATGCGCGCGCGTTTTCGCGCGTACTGGTATTTTGCAACATAGAATCGCCGATTTTTTTCTGTCATCATATTCGGTACATTTTTCCAAGCATTTTGATAATTTGTTCACCTTTTATTAACGCAATGAGCGTCCGTCAAAGTTGACAGCACGCGCGGATTTGCGTTATCTTTTTCCACAATACATGGGCAAAAACATGCCTATATAAAATTCATTGTAACTCTTTAGAATAGATAGAAACTCCTAATATTTTGTCATATTTGGATAGATTATGAGTCGGAGATATGATTTCATGTCTCATTTTAACCTCGATTAACTCATGACGTCATCATAATGGCCTCCAAACTCAAAATTTTAATTTGCATATTATGACAATGCATATTTTAGGAAAATTGATTGTATCTCTGTAAATATTGATTGTTTTTCTTCTAAATTTTAATATGTTCTAGCTGTGACAATTCTCTACAAATGCAGTTTCCCCAATTCTTCAGTTTGACAAAGGCATTATGGCGAATTTTTGCAATTAAAGGAGGCATGTCAATTTTACACATTTTGCGTGTATTCTCTATGGGACATGACTTTTTCTCAAAACTGGATTCTACATTTTCGTCTTTCGCGAGCAATATCTCAATTGTTGTAGCTTTGTTTTTGCTGAGCTTAGAGTGTGTTGTAGCTGAGAGAATAAGCTATTTCCAGTGTGCACTTTATTTTTCGATCATTTGCCGGGATCATTTCTTTGAATAAGATAAAATCGTCAAAATGCTGCAAAGGGTCAATGGTCATATATCGTCTCAATCTATCTTCCCTAGATCCACGATGATCAAGGAGACACAATTTAATCTTGACATATGGATAGATCATAATGGTAGAAGCATTTTATAAAATAATATATATCGAGTAATGCATTATTCTTTTTTTAAACCATTATCATACGTATCACCTAATTCGTCTAAGTGACGAATTCAAGTCTAGTTAAGCTTTGTTACGCTTTGCCGCCGCTTTGCTCGCCGATTTAATGCGCCATCAATTCGGCGTCGGTGTGAACTTAGCATAACATATCTCAGGAGATCGTGAGATTTTTTGAAAAAATGACGCCGAATTGATCGCCGATTTAAAGCGCGACATTCGGCGTCGGCGTGAACTAGGCATACCAAAGAGATACATGTGTCAATTCGCATTTGAAACATGACAGCGAAAGCCTGTATTTCAAATAATCTTACTCATGTCATCGATTCCAGCTAATATTTTGTAAACTTTTCAAAGCTATGGTTACATATACTAATGTACTTTACTCTCTACCACACAGTCGTCAACCCTAAGAGACAAGTAATATGACAAGGTTATCTCGAAGTTGTATGGGTTGGATTCATAGAAATGTGTGTAAGTTTAGAAGGTAGTAGGCTATTGAAAATAAATAAATGTTATTCTATGGATTGGAACAAGTTTCTGTGAAATTATAGATACATAACATCATTACTATGTCCCATTTGCAGGCCCCCAAAATGAAAAGGTTAAATTCCAACGGCATTTGAAAGAAAATACTAATTTAGAACTTCCCTAAACAAAAAAAAGGAGGGGGGGGGGCTTTAAAATGTTTTTAAGTGGGAAAATAACGACTATGAGTTGTCGAATCGACTTAAGAGCTATAGAGCCAGTAAGTAATAGTCTGATTTTCAGACCATTGTGCCGAATGGTCGTACGTTTTATGCTGCGCAAAGATTCAATCAGTTTAATTTTGGCCATTACAAAAAGTGGGTTATTGATGTAGACAAATGCTCATGTACCCTTTGCAGCTCATTTTATGTATGTTACCAAAGAAGAAAAAAGCCAGTCAGTCACTCAATAATAGTGTCTGACAGTGAAGTCTAGCAAGTAAACGGGTTTCCTTGCATAATTTGAATATGAGGACACTGCTAACGTTTAAATTTCACAGATAGGACATACATGCCATATTCGTAATTCCTGCAAAGTTCTACAGAATTTGATGTTGGCTGCAATTTTTACAACTGATTAACTCATTCGCGAACATTTTTCAAGTTTCAAATTTATTTATTTCCACTTTATCGAAAATAACGTAATCGAACATAATGAACATGGTCATAATTATAACTAAGCATACAATATAAAAACATAATGTACATTGTAATAGTTATAACAAAAGATACGATCATAAGTGTGATAAATACATTGCAAAAAAAATAAATAAAGTGGGGATCTACTAAAAAGCAAAGCTTGTGTTGTGTAGGTCCCAGTTAATAGGTTTGTATATAAATAAGGGTATCTGAATAAACACAAGATATTTACAAAAGCATATGATTATACGAGGGTTATCTTTAAAGCCCCACTGTCCTACTTGTAGCTACTTGCTCCCTCTATATAGAAAACTTCCCCAATCGGTGCCTGTTGGTCCCCATGATCCTCTTCTTCTTATGTTAGTTGAGAGCTGAGTTAATGAGATAGCCACCTGTCAGTGACCTTGCTGTGTGGTCTAATCCCTTCTGGCCAAGTAGTATTGACGGTCTTTAAGTGACATATTTTATAAACATAGCATAAACAATTGAGAAGGAGAAGAAACAAAAAGGAAGAGTTATGTGCTTTCCTCAGCATATTAAACCAAATATATATAAATTAAATAAAAGGACCAGTGCTTATTTTAACACTACGTGTGTGGGAAACCACATTGTGTGGTTTGCCATATGTACCCTGGTTTAATATGATGCTCAGTCACCTGTGGCAGAAATGTAACGAATATGATATTATTGGACAGAAAACAGGTTACTCTTCTTCATGTTCTAGATTTCAAACTCATATTGGTTATTAATTTTAAAGTAGGAGCTACCAAAGTTGGGTACACCTATTTTTAGACGGATTGTATATATTTATGTATGGGCCTACACATTAATTATTTTTTTTAATGACAAAAATAAATAATATACCGTTTTTGTTAAAGGGTATAGACTAATGTAGGATAGCGTGTTAAGAATCAAGCAGTACTAATTATTTGTTATCATAAGACTACAAACATCTTGAAGATTGTCTGATTTGTACAGGTGTTGACCATGTTTTCTTTTTTCTTGGGGGCGGTTAAAATACCACATCTCACTTTCTTCCTCTATTTTTGTCAGCATATTTAGGTTGACACTTCGAAATATTAAAGTGTCATTACAATTTCGTGTATTTTCTCTTTTGTTTTGTAGAAAAATGAAAATGGTGGGACAATTTTTACTGCTAGTACTATGTGTACTACGATACAATGTTGCAGGTATGTATAGGCCTATTCACCAATGACCTCTATACCAGATTATCTTTCTTAATTTATAATATTATTCCAACTATAACTTCGAGAGGTTAAAGTTCGTTTCAAGACGACTGAGTGTACCAAAGAAATTGAGTATTAATTCTTAATTGGAGTGAAAAAGTTGATGTTCATCATCACTGTAACGATTATTGTCGTATAAAGCCATAGCACACACACACACACACACGTCAAAATCGTGCAGTAAATAAATTGATATTGTTTTTTAAATAATTAACGTCACGTGATCTCAGATCAGCCAATAAGATACGCACTAATGCAAATACCCCATTTTATAAACACTCGGCATGTTGTACACAAGCACAATTCACGCTATAGCTGCAATGACAAATTCTTCAAATGGGTCTAATATCGAACAAGTAATTTTTGGGAAATGTTTTAGTTTAGGAGTCCATTATGTGTAGAGACACATGTTTTTCAGAACACCATATGAGCATTAATCACGATGAAAACCTTTATTGACTGGAGTTTGGGCTTAATACTTTTCTTTTTGTCACCTATTATATCCCAGGTGGTCAGGTAGTAACGGACCGGAACACAGTTATGATCAAAGGATCAGAAGCAAGCCTTCAATGTTCCTTTCGTGGGACGCCTTTGCAACTTTATTGGTTCAAAGAGGGTGAGTTGACTGGCATTCAGTTTATTGAAATGTTTAAACCCTGCGAGACTGTTAACCATGTGCATGTTCTCTTGTATATAAATGTAGGTGTTACGATTACAGACAAATTTTATGCTGCTTAAACCCCGCCATACGCCCTTTAATGTGGCCCAAAGACCTATTACGGTATCATCAACCAAGATTTTGGGAACAATTTAGCTTTGATTTCAATTAAACATTTGCGACTTGTAAAGTAATTGCAAACCAGCCAATTTTGACTTTCTTCTCTTGAAATTTCACGTTGTCTCTGCTATAAATGGCAAGTCCTACTCTATAGTGAATTGCATTTGGATTAAAAGAGATAATAATTTTGTTTAAAGACGGTGGAAATGTTTTTTAAATTGGACCAAATATGGCACAGTTGTGAAGGCATCTTTAAGTTTCGCAACACTTTCAGGAAACAGAGATATGCATCCGTATCAGAATATTTACCCCTGGAAAATAACCCCCGCCCTTGGGGGGGGGGGGGGGGTTGTCCCGCTGGTAATTGGCCGGTCGTGATTGCCTAGAGGTTAATTGTCCTAGAACCGAGCGAGCTACTTAGCATACAGCGTATATAATGCATATGGTGCTTCACTCTTCCCCATATAGTTTGTTAATAAAATTCCAAGCTTCTTGTTTTCTTCACGTCACCCCTGTTTATTTGTTCTCCTTTGTTTACAAAAGATCACAGTTACTGTAGTAGTGATTTTGCACATATTCCATGAGAATTCAAGCCATGTTTTACATTCTCAGAGCAAAAACAGTGATATTTCTGTTAAATTAATGTTCAAAACGGAAGGGGAATAAGTAGGGGGTGGCATCATCAACTCGCTAATTTGCATACAGCCTATGTGATATTTCATAAAGTAATGCAAACATTTAAAACTCCATAAACTTAAGGCCTCAATATTAATTTATTTTGGTCATCAGTAAACCAGTTCATCACAGTCCCCCATACATTTGCCCACTTCTGTTTGAACGACTTCTACTTTATTAATTCATAACTATTTTGCTTTGGTCTTGTTAGCTTTATACTGTTATTCATGTTTCCTTTCTTTTTTCTTTCTCAATTAGATATCAACATTAATTACCCCTCTGAGATTGATTTGTTTTTCTAAAAATTCAGTTGAATACGGCTACCAAATGAAAATATATCAGGATGGCAGGCCACTTTGTAAACTTAAAAAATATAAAAATATTTATTTTCTTGACACAAGGTTTACGAATGAAAGTATCTATTTTGTTTTCTTTACATTCCCTAAAATATGGATTAGGTGATCCTGCTATGTCGAAAGCAGAAACCTTAATTGGATTTTATAGTGGAAGAACACAACGACCCGAACATGACAGCGGAAAGTTCAATGTGAGTGAAGATTGCTCCCTCACATTCACTGCAGAAATTGGTGATGCTGGTCGCTACTACTGCGACGTGTCGAATGACGAAGGAACTAAGATTGGGGGTTTCACGGATGTGACTGTAGCTGGTACGTTATTAGATCAATTTTGTTTGGGTGTAGGGCCTACAAGTATGGACATACAGAGAGATTATTGACATTCGTCACTCTTTTTCTGTACATGCGAACCTAAAAATATCATTGAAAGGTGAGATCCGGGTCGCGATCGGAATTTCACTCAAAGTAAACATTTTGTAAATTAATGAGATTATTTGGCCGAGTGGTTTGCGTTCGAGCAAAAGGAGATGATAGCACTTGTCGAGAAGTTAGATATTATTTTCAGAGTGTGAACGGCGTTTTAAAAAAAGGTGAGAATAACCGCGATCCAATTCTCACTACACTTATGCGTGAATGGGCCTAATGTATTATTGTATGGCTAAAACAGAGCGCCCATGTCTGCGCAAATAAATAATTCAAAACTCGCAAAAACAAATAATATTTTCATCTTTGTTAGAACGATACGTGTGTGTGTGTGTCAAAAAATGAGTAAAAACAGTTTTTGTTTGTATTTGGTAATCCAAATCACAAGCCTTGAAATCTTGTCTTTCAGGTTAAAAATAATGTACTGTGTGTAAAATGAATGAGTGCTCACACATTGGAGCTCTTCGATTTGGAATACCAAAAATGACTCGGCCACCGTTTCTTGTAGAAAGGACAGTGTTCTTGCTTGAATTTAGACAAAGTTTGTGAACAATTTAGTTTTAAACTTTTGCAAGATTCTGGAATTAGTTAAACATTTTTCCCCTTTATTTCATTATTCTATTATATCGGAAAAGCACATTATTCACTTAATATAGTTATGTTCGGCCTTACAGAGTTTTGATAACATATATGGACTGGTTTGCAATATGAACGTCTTTTCTATACCTACAGTTCCTCCAGACGACCCATTCCCCATGATAGACAATTTCACGATTTCGGACGGTAATCGGCCGACAACGATTACCTGTCGAGCGGATGGGGCTTCTAAAGGTTTGGTAGTTTTACAATGGATGCACAATGGGGATGAGTACCCTCAGATTATCAGGAACTTCACAAACGCAGACGGAATCACAGAAAACCTCACAGCGACTATCGAGGCCCTGGTTAGCGAAGAACCCTACATCTGCGTCGGCACCCTGAAGGCAACCAATCGCGTTAATTCAACAGAAGAGGCCTTTGTCCAACGAACCATTTTCAGTACCATACGATCCGAAGGACCCACAGAATATTTGACCACACCCGTCGAGGATACTGACAACAACCATTCGACGGTGATTGCAGGTCAGAATGAAATCGAGTTAATTATGAAAGGTGTTAAGTCTCGTGGTGTGTCTACTGTTGTGTTGCTCTTTCTGTTTGGTTATTCTTAGTTTCTTTTTTCTTTATGTTTTGTGTGTTCCTTGGACAAGTCATAATGTTTGTCCTACCTAGCAACATTTAATGTATGCAATTTTAATTCCTAGTATTGAAATACACTAATTCGTGACAGGTGAATGAAATAATTTTTTACGAGGCACTTTACGAAGATTTGTACATTTAATTTGATTACATTACGGAAGTCACCAATTAACTCAATGCTAAGGTTTAACAGATATATCCCTCGAAACAACAAAGTTTCATATTCCAAGGAATGTTCAAAGTATTATATTTATACAACAATTACCTTATTATGAGAGCTTTACGTACCTCTGATATTTTTACCTGACATCTAGAAAGAGCCCTACATTCTGAGGCATGTGATCGTATATTACAAATTGAATTAAGTTGTGTATGTCTTAACTATAGAATTCGATGTCCAACATCTGTTTCAGATATCGTATACCTAACTGATGGTAATCTTCTGGATTTAGAATTTTCAAAAGGGGATTTCTAGAAAGAAAAAAAAAACGATTTGCTGGATCTCGAAGTGGTACTGGTAGCCTGTCAAAATTTAAAATAGAAAAGGATACATTTATTTGCCTTTTTGCTATTTATGGTAAATGACTTTGTCCTTTCTCATTATCTTTCTCTATTTCAGTGGCAGTTTCAGTTTCATTTCTTCTCGGTAAGTTAACATGTTGTTATGATATAATCTGTAATTACGATGATGAAAATAATAATAATAGTAAATGATAATAACAATAAGAAAATTTGTAGGACTCGTGTATCGCATGCACAACCATATTTTTTGTGACTCTCATTATTTTATATATATAAAATAATGAGAATCACAAAAAATGTGGTTGTGCATGCGATACACGAGTCCTATCGCAGAGGATTAAGGGAGGCATGCAATAAAACACCAATATCATAATAATAATCAAAGTTTTGGTGCACCAGGTGTCATTATTCTTGATAGGGATGTCAAATTAAGAAAGAACCGATATCAAGAAACCTGTCACAAATATTAGGAACTGTTAAACGAAATGGCGCCATGTCACCTGTGTGGGATTTCAGACAAGAAAGTCCTTTATCCTCGTCTAGACATGAGAAGAAATGCCGGAAATTGTATTCAATGATGAATCGTCTTAATGCGGGACTGCACTACTTGTAGCTACTTGCGCCCTCTATGTAGCAAACAATGCCTAAGCGGTACCCGCTGGTCCCCCGATGGACCCTGGTTTTTCTTATGTTAATTGAAAGCTAATTTGATGAGATAGCCGCCTGTCAGTGATAATGCAGGGAGGTTTAATCCCTCCTGGTCAAACTATTGCAAATAGGCTTTAACATTTAAAGATACCTACATGTAAAACTTTCCAAATAAAGGGTACTTTCAAAGAAAAGTCGACAAAGGCGGTACATTTTACCCTGGTCATTTGTTTTAGTTGAAATTTTAAAGGTAAAATATGGCGATGGCTTAAAGACACTATTTCTCTTTTGCAGCCAACCTCAATTTCTGTAGAACTTTGAAGGAATTATGAATATGTCATGAATGTCCTATCTCTGAAATGTACACGTTAGCAGTGCCCTAATATTAAAATTGTGCAAGGAAATCCGTTTACTTGCTAGACTTCACTGTCAGACACTATTGTCAGTATTGAGTGACTGACTGGCTTTTTTTTCTTCTTTGGTAATAACATACATAACGTGAGCTGTAAAGGGTACATGACCATTTTTCTACATCAATAACCCACTTCTTGTAATGGCCAAAATTAAACTGATTGAATCTTTGCGCAGTATAAAACATACGACCATGCGGTACAATGGTCTGAAAATCAAGACTATTACGTATTGGCTCTAGAGCTCCTAAGTCGATTTGACAACTAATAGTCGTTATTTTCCCACTTAAAAACATTTTAAAGCCTCATTTTTTTAAGGGGAGTTCTAAATTAGTATTATCTTTCAAATGCCGTTGGAATTTAACCTTTTCATTTGTTTGGCCTGCAAAAGGGACATAGTACCTTTAAGCAATGGAGTATTGAAGGCGATTGAAAAACTGGAAATTAAAATGAGGAGTATACATCGGCCCTCTCATAGTCTCCTTAAACATAGGGGGATCATGATCTTATGATATAATACAGTATTAATTGTCTACATATTTCTAAACTCTGTACTTATATATTTATTGCACTGCAACAGGATATCTCAGTCACTTGGTCATTTTTCATAATTTCTTTCGCACGTCTACAGCTCTCACTGTCATTGCTGCAGTGTATCTTTGTATGAAGAAGAAGAAGCTTCAAATCCGCACACTTCAGTTATATAAGATATTACAAAAGGGTAAGTATGGTATTTGACTTTTAGGACGACCTTCCTCTCAATAAATTTACGCGCAACTACAATTCCCTTTAACCCCCCCCCCCCCCACAAAAAAAAAATATATATATATGTATATATATATATCCTCAGACTATTACGCGTAAAATGCATATAGCCTCGTTCAGATATGCGGGAAACCGTTATGGGTTTTGTCTCGCCCGCGTAGCAAAAAGCGAGACATCCTAAATGTAGTCACCCGGCGGGGGTAGTTGTTGTCCACAGGCGCGGATCCAGGATTTCTTAGGGGAGGGGGCCCAACTTTTTTTTTTTTTTTGCTCCCGAAAATTTGAAAATCGCGCCGGCCGAAAAGTCCCTCAGTGGGGGGGGGGGGGGGGGGGGGTGAGGGAGTACAGAGCACAATTTTTTTTTTTTTTTTTTTTTTTTTTTTTTTTTTTTGCTCCCGAAAATTTGAAAAACGCGCCGGCCAAAAAGTCGCTCAGTGGGGGGGGGGGGGGGGGGGGGGGGGGGGGGGGGGGGGGGGGGGGGGGGGGGGCACTTTTTTTTTTTTTTTTTTTTGATCCTCAAAAAAATTTCAATTTGCACCCCCCCTTGAGCGCCAGGGGGGGGGGGGGCCCAACCCCAAAAAAGGTAAAAAATCACGTGATTTTACATGATTTTTTTCTCAAGGGGGGGGGGGGCCCGGGCCCCCCGGGGCCCCCCCCCCCTGGATCCGCCACTGGTTGTCCAAGTGGTATCTTGTCAGGGGGAGACATTTTTACCGGCCGGTAATTTTTGTACAGGCTTCAGTCGTAAAAAATATACATTAAAACTTTGTTCAGATAGGACGCGGCAAACCGAAATGTTTGTTTTTTGTATGATGACGAAAAAACTAGAACGCGTCACATTCGGTATAATATTGTAGCACAGAGCTCGATGAATATGCGCAGGACTTTTGTGGCTCGTAGTTTATATGTTTAAAAAAACGCCAATTCTATTTTTGTTGGCTCTTTTATCGAACGAGCCTTATCTTGAAACACCCCCAGGATTGAGAGCATTTCGACATTTTACCTAATGCAATGTTTTACATGCTTGTTACATTTTTTTACGTGGTAGAACTTTTATTACTTGAATGATTTAAGCGCCTTTTATGGCAGCTGAGCTAAAGCCAGGTAACTACTTTTAATCGCCTTTGGCATCCGCTGGAGGATATGTGCGCAATATAATTCACGAAGATGCAACTTGAAACGGTCTGTGTTTCAAATTAGCCAAACCCCTTCTCCAATCATAGGGAATTGTGTGCGCGTGTGCGAATGGGCAGGTGATTGTTGTAAACTAGTAATGATAAAAATAAATTTAAACTACCCCCCCCCCAACCAAATTCAAGATGTGCAAAGCGAAACCCCTTTTAGAATAGCAATACTCTGAAAATAACCATTAACAAAAATATTACATTATCTTTACCTTTCATAATTATGTTTGTTATGTTTTGTTATTACAGAGGGAAGCCGACGAGTTGGCCCCGAGGCAAAGTTTCAACAGGGTGTCAATAACGTTGGATCCCGAGAGGAAGCGAGCGTCACTCTCGTGACTCCGAAAAAGCACTGACCTTGAATAAATTAATTAATTTCCCTTATTTTTGCATCCAAATTATTGTCAAGGGACAACATTTCCACCTTTTGTAAATACTAAATTTCATACATTGATTACGCTTAAGCTGCGCCAATGTATATGGCGATGTGAACTAGGGGGTCTGAGAGTATTTTGCAGTGCGTACCAGTGAGAAGAAGAAAAAATGCAACCTGAAAAGAAACAGTAATTGAAAAAAAATATCGAGTTTTATGTTAATAGCTCATAAATTTAAAATGATATGCCTTCAAATGGTACTGTGATTACATTGATCAATAATTAACCGAGCAACATTGTTTTAAAAATGGCATTTCAAAATACAGTTGTGCCAGATTTTGGAAAAACGGTATTGAGTATCACATGTGAACATGAAGTTCAAGAAAATGTAAGCTTTAAAAGATTTCCATTATGTGATGTGCCTAAAGCAGTTACCCCTTTTTGACAACACAAAACTGTTTGGGTTGCCCTTTAGAAAGTTGCAGTTCTGTAAATGCTAACATTAGGCTATTAAAAAATATACATGTTTAGCGTCCCCGCCCGCTTCCTTTTGGGGGACGCCTCCTTTTTTTTTTAAAGAAAAAAAACATGAAAAACATTGCTAAAAATAATGAAGTGGATCTTTTTCTGATTTAAAAAAAAATATATATATCGGCGGCTATCTTGAAAAAAAAGCCCGACTGTCAGGAAAAAAATGTACCGAGTGGCCATTTTGAGAAGCCTTTTGAAAGAAGAAAAAAAAGGGGCCTCCTCCTTCCTATTTTTCGAAAAAAAACAGGACGCTAAACATGTTTGTGTTTTTTGGGGGGGCCTTACTGTCATAATGATTGCAGTCATATTTACTTACAAAATATGCCCTTCCACTCTCATCAATGACAATATCTCCTTTGATCTTTATTTCCTAGTGATGGTCATCAATTTGACCTCATTATTAAAAGAATTACAGTATGAAAACAATATTCTCATTCGGTTTAAAGGTTTAGGTTTCCCTCAGGTCGTCTTCGGTCAAGTTCGCACGTAATATACTTACGTTTTCAACCACGTTCACTGTTTCGACCAAATCTGGCACAAATGGATTTTGACACGCCATTTGTAAAACAATATTGCTCGGTGAAGCATATGTTAAACGATATTATCAATGTGTCATTTCACATTCACTTGATGAAAAGCGAGGAATCACATGTTTACAGCTCAGTTTTTGTTCAGAAATGTTCACAATACCCGTTTGTTTTCCAGACGCACCCTGTAAAGGAGTCGATTTAGAAAGTGATTCCGTAATACGTGGATTCCCGGAAATCTCAAAATATACAAAAAATGCATTTGACGCTGCTCATTTTGTATAGCTACGTTTAATAGAAACAATAGTATCCCGCTATATTTTGGTGCAAAGTATTCAAGTGTGATACTGGTTTTCATGCGTAAGCCCATGGACTTGTATATTTGATAGAGGCGAAACTGTCGAAAAATTCTGATTTTACATAATTTTGACAAAATAAACTTGCATAAATTATATTTATGAAGTAAGAAGTGAGCATAGAGAGGAGGTAAGATAAAAGGAAAGCGACCTAGGCCCATAAAGGCTTATTAGTAGTCCAGTAGAGTACATTTATTCTTTTGTTTTGAGGGTTGCATTATCTCTCTTTTAAAATGAAATATCTGTAATTGTTCATGTAATATGTATGTAACAATATATATTTTCCTTCACAAAACGATTGGTCTTTGCAGATTTTATAGTCAAGTGCATCTTATAGGGCAGCACGTACTCTTGGTTTTCTTTTGTTTGGTACTTTATCATGATAGCCTTTTGTGGGGGGGGGGGGAATTTCAATTACAACTTGAATGGAGTTTCCACTTCAATGGCATTTCTCAAAGTACCACCATTATTTAAAGATTTTTTGATCCCTCATAATTCATTTCTGCAGCAAGAATTTAATTTCTTTAATATTTTGTATCAATGTTTTGTTTGTATTAATGTACACATATACAGAAGCCTCATACTCTGAGTCTTCCAAAACGCTGAATGTTCCTCCACCGGTTCGGTTCTAAAGGTTTATATCAATTTAATTCATGAATTGCAACATGCATGCAGTAACGCAAGATTTCGGTTCCAAAAAATACTACTACATCAGATTTTGGTTTTAAAAGGTACTATACATCCACAAAAATTAAAAGAACACAAATTCAGGAAAAACGTTTGTGCAGATTTAGATTCTGTTAAAGAGTGGTTTTATACTTTTTTCATACAATAATATAATCATTCCAAACTGGCATTGCTAACTACGATTATCAAAAAATCGTGTTTATCTCAGAACTTGGATCTATGAATGTATTAGCCTACCTTTGAAACCGAGCCCTTTCATTTTGTATGGATTTTTTTTAATTCTACCGATCTATTCAAATAATGTCATTTATCGATATTGTTACGAATATGCAAAGGAGATGTTGATGGATATGCTAATTCCAAGATGTTGCTCGAGTTGAGAATAATAAACGGATCAAAGGTAACCAAATCGTCTTGATTTTCATTATATATCAATATAATTCAGAGTTGTGGAAGGGCCAATATGAGTTGATTGTCCCGACTTAACAGATTGGGGGCTTGTCTCAAGAGCTAGATATAGTAACATATGCCGTTTTGTTACTTTTCCGATCCGAAATGCGTATTGTTTGGAGTTTGCCTTTTGTCCCATTCATGGGTTTTGGTGTGGTTTTCGCACACATTTAATGACTGTGGAATGTCTGTGCTGTAGTCATGGTAGTGTAGCGTCCATAATAGGGTTAAGCCTACACACTACAGTTTGATCTTGTTTTGTACTGCATGATAGCTCGAGTCTTGGCTGGGGTATATGCCCCTTAGATGTCTGTTGAGGTCTTAAAGTGTAACATGGTCTTAAAGTGTAACACGACCCCCTAGCTCCTGAAAAAAGAGTCGCTGCGTGCGCGCGGCGCTTACGTACAGCTAGCTGTAGTTATCATGCATGCAAACAGCAGTATACTGCTCGCTTTCGTTCCAGCTAACTAGCTAGTTGCTGCAATTGTTCGACTAAAGTGTACCAATTCAACATTTAAAGCTTAATACAGACCGATAGGAAAGATTATGCCTTACATGAGTAGCTTCGTAAGCTTTCTTTTATCCCATAAAGAGAGAGAGAGAGAGAGAGAGAGAGAGGGAGAGATTCAAGTGGAAAAGGCCGAAGATTGTCATTACCGCGAAGCATTTATAGACTGCGCTCCGACTGCGCTACATGCACAGCAGGCCGTGTTAATCGCCATTCGTTATGGGGGGACAAAGCCATCACCTACCTACTACGTAATTCTGGCGTGTTTCATCAAGTGACTTCAGTCTGATAGCAATACCAGTTGCCATTAGAATTTGGAGATATCATTGTTTCTGATTACATCTATCTAGCACATTTAACTTCTCTTGATGATGAAAATATGCCGGAAAGTAAGCCGCAAAGAAAAGAAAACAAATGAAAAAGAAATTGAAGAAGCAGAAGGAAGGAAAGGAAGAAAGAAAATGGGATAAGAAAGAAAAAAGAAAAAGTAAAAAAAGAAAATAAATATAAATAATAAATGAATAGAATATAGGAAAAAGAAACCAAGAAAGATAGAAATAAATTGAACGAAAATTGAAATGAAAAGAAGACGAAAGAAGAAGGGAAAGGAGCAAGATAATATTGATATCATGTCTTCACTTCTAGTCAACCTCTTGTTTTTTTTTATAGGCCTGGCTACCTTTTTTTCCCTTCTTTCCTTTATCTTTTTCTTATTTTTTTCTCTAATTTTAAAAGTAATCTTGGTTTCTTATATTTTACTTTCCTTACTCGTATACTGTGAAGAAATGATTTCATCCTATGGCGTATTTCATCTGGATTGTATGTTTGTCACAAGTTCATAAGTGCCCCTTATGATATCTGATAGCCCTTTTTATTGTTTACCTTGACACGCGTCCCCTCTAATAAGTGCCCTTTTACTTTTTGATATGTGCCACTTTCCCCTTTTTAATAAGAGCCCCTTCCCTTTCTCATAAATTCCTCTTTGACACATGCCTCCTTTTCCTTTCTTGTAAGTACCCTTTCCCTCCTAATGGGTGCCCCTTTTCCCTTTTTTATACGGCCCCTCTCCTTATCATAAATACCCCTTTTCATCTTTGATAAATGCCCCTATTAAAATCTTATAGGTTCCCCTTTTCCTGTGACAAATGCCCATTTTTCATTATCATTAGTGCCCCTTTTAAAAATATCTGTTGAGTGCCCCTTTTCAGGTGCGAGAAATGCCCCGTTTTCACCACTGATTACTGCCTCTTTTACTTAGACACATGTTCCTTTTCTTTTCAAATAAATGTCCTTTTTCCATCTGAGTGCTCCATTTTCATTTATCCATAACATGTGCCCCTATTTTTAAGCGACTAAGAGCAACTCTTTTTCTTTACCCCCCCCCCCAAGCTTGTGTCTACGCTAGATCGCATTTATAGTTGATATAAGTGTGTTATATAGTTTTCAGTCTTTCATCATCGTGATTAAAATCCCAAGCTGTAATTTTTCGCACAGCGACCTCACTTATCTTGAAACTTTTGCTTCCATGTCATGTAAGTGAATATTCAGATTGTGCAAAGTAACATGATGCTTAAACAGTAGCTAATTGGACCATGCATGTTCAGTTAAAAGAGTCTGAGAAACAAATATTGAAATCATCCCTCATTATTGTGACCACAATGTAAACAATTTTATATTTTTGCTTTGAGATTTCCCTTTGTATGTGCCCTCCCCCCAGAAAGTGTCTTTTTTTGTCCCCCCCCCCTGAATATATTGATTAGTTAGTTAATTCGGCGAGACATTGCTGCGGCCAGCTGGTTAGTTCGAGTGAACAGCAAACACTTAGCTAGATGTATTATGCCAAGGCGCTGTGCGCATCGACTAATTTTTCAGGAACTTAGGCACCGTGTTACACTTTAAGACCATGTTACACTTTAAGACCTCAACAGATGTCGTCTCATTGGTATGAAATTTACTGCACATCTGCTGCGGTTGTCTGGTATTCTGGTCCTGGTTGTGCCTGTTCTTGCATGGCAGTCGTTGAAGGAGTTAGTCGGTTTGACTTTTAACTTTGCCTCGGCTCTACTTCTAGGGTGATGGCCTAGATTAGTTGTTTGCATGCAATCTAGTTTGCTACACATCTGATGTAGTGTGGGTTTGTGGGTACTGGACTTTTTGGAAATTATTCCATGTTTCACGTGTGTTTGAGTGATATTAAGACTAGATCTATACGTGTAAGTGTAAGAGTTGATGAAATCTAACCGAAAAAAAAATTGACTTGAGTTGTGGAGGTGGAGTCTCAATCTAACCCTCTGCTGCATGGCTACATGTATATCAATTTCACAGAATTGGTGATAGTTTGATGTTTAGTCAATTTTGTTTTGCTTAGTCGGTTGGTCAATTTTTGTTGTTTCATCTGTTGTTGGACTATATCCTGTGTTGATTCACATTCAACATTTTTTTTTGGATTTTTTTTTCCAGTCGTCAGGACAATTGACCTACTTTGTGAGACTTGTGTAACTTGCATAGACTAGATCTATACAATGGCTGACTTTGATATTGAAAAGTTTTTGAGTCAGGATTTGACCATTGGCCGGTTACGTCAGCTACGAAAGGTTGATTTAACAGC